ATGAACTACAAGGCCAGTCACACAGAAGTGAAAAGTCAAGTCGTGGATGATCCATGCTCTGTAAGGAAGCAAAGCCTTTCTTTTCTTTCTTTTTTTTTTCCAATACCAAAATGAAATTTGCTGATTGAACACATAAATGATTTCTGTAAGACAGAATGCCTTGTATTCATTAGGTCTCCCTGACCTAGTTTGAGAGTAGGGAGTAAGAACAGCGCACAAGAAAATTTTGTCCACCGGAAGAGCTCAGAGAACTTAACCAGCTCCCAACTGGACAGATTTCATTCATTTAAGAGCATTGTATACATGCTGGCTTTTAAAAGCACCAACAAAAGACAGCTGAAGGCAAGTAAAGACAAAATGCCAGCCACTATTTCGTGCCTATTTAAGTATTTCACAGGAAGAAAAAAGGAATAAACATGCTGTACATCTAATCCGGGTCTCCAGCGACCACCCAGTGAGCAAAGCCAGAGGTCTCTTCTCGTTCTACAGCCCACCTGATAATTCTAGCACTTTAGTTGACCAGCTCCTCTTTGAAATGCTTCACCTTGGATTTTTATAACATGATACTCTTCCACCTTCCCTTTTCCTTCCCAGTTATTTCTCAGTTCCACATGCAAGTCAAGTCTTGACTGCCTTTCTCCTGAGATCTAGAGCCAGACGTGAATACCACATTACCACCTCACCCCCAACACGGCAGAAAGGCAACGTCCTCTCTGCTCCAAAGCTATTTGCTGCTCTTCTCCCCATTTTCCCTAAGATGATGTTCTTCTCACAGTTCTAGGAGATACCTTGGAGTCATCTGGGCCTCCATTACCTTCTGTTCCCACCATTGCACTCTTGATACATGTGGATAGTCTTTTTCAGACTCTCTCCTAAGCTTATCTCCCAATGTATAGTCATTATCTTCCATAAGCCATCACTTAATTTAGAGTAATACAGAATTCTTTTAAGGTAGACACAGATTATGTTGCTTCTTCATCAAAATCCATTAATGGATAATAAGAAAGGGGGAAACTTATTACATGTTCTTTTACATGACCTACATAAGCAAAATGAAAAAAAATGAAATTTTTCATAATCCAACACCCAGGTTATCAATGTCAAATTTTTGGTTTGTGTATCTTTTGAACCTAAGAAAGGTTTATACCATACATGTTTTATAAGCTACTTTTTATCCCTCTCATATACATCAGGAATAGTTTTTAATGTCATTAAGTATCCTTCTACATTTGGTTTTACTAGCAACATAATACCTCTGTTGTATCCATCACCTTAAATTCTCTCAAGTTTGATTCCATTAGTGTCCTCTGTTTCTTCTTAAAACACATACAGCCTTCAGCTTACCCTGTGATTTAGTGCAGGAGTCAGTGCCTATTGCCTGTAGGCCACATCGGGCCCACCACCCATTTTTGTGTGCCATGTAAACTAGGAAGTGCTTTTACAGTTTTAAATCATGGGGCTGGGGGCGGGGGGCGGAATATTTTGTGACATGTGAAAATTATTTAAAATTCAAACTCCAGTATCCATGAAGAGTTTTATCAGTCTGTAGCCAGATTCATTTGTTTCTATATTGTCTATGGCTGTATTTGCACTACAACAGCTTAGTTGAGTGGTTTCAACAGAGACTTACAGCCCACAGTGTGTATTCACTTTCTGGGCCTTTTACCGCAAGTTTACGGAATCCTCATTTAGCCATACTGAATATAACACAATGTTATTGTCACTCTTTGGCTCCTTTAGCCTAAGCTACTATCCCTTCATTTAAGTTTTTCTCAAAGTCAGAGATGTGCTTTATTTGCTTGTTTTTCAATTCCTCTAACACTCTGACTTGTCATCATAGCAAGTATGTCACTGTGTTGTACTTAATTTTATCTGGGTCTTACTCTCTGGAAGAGAAACATAATGGCCATGACTTGTAGTCATTACATGTGTTACGACCACGCTTCTATACACAGTATGCTCGTATATAATAGCTGGTCAATAAATCTTTGCAGAATACTGATTGAGATGGACATTCTGGCCCAAATTTGAGAAAATAACTGCCATTTTAAACAGTGTTTCTCTAGAAAAACTTATTTTGATTTCAGGTAACAGCCCTGCTACCAACTTTTGGAACCTTGGTTCTCAGGAAGTCAAAGACTACATTTTTATGTAAATACAATGTTTGCTAGTGTGAGGGAGTAATTAGGAAAGAGCCAGACCTGGAAGTGTTTTGAGATTTCCATCCCATCCCTTCTTTGCATACACAATCTCCTCCATATCAGTGCTGTTCTTTAAGTACTAATCAAGTAGCACAGACTAGAAGGGAATAGTGGCACTCTTTTAAGCTAGAAAAAGGGAGAGTTTCTGGGCCAGAACTGTGCTGGTTCGATCCTGCTCTCTAATCTCCCGGTGTGTAGCTCACTAGCCTAGTCTCCATCTTCTACTGCTCTGTGAGTTCGTTGACCACACATGCATTCACTTCAGAGTAAGCCAGTCACGGTAGTCAGTGGTCACACGTGTGCAGACTACCGTGAACGGTGAGGAGAGTCATTCATGACAGGGTGGAGGAGAGGCTAGATAGAAGTTGATGGCGGCACACCAGGCGGTTGCTCCCTTCCCTTTCTGAGGAAACCAGCCACAGCACCGAAAGATACATTTCAAATACAAGGAGTATTTTCGGGTTTTGATACTCAACAGTCTTCGTGTTACACAAGTTATTTAATACCTTTTTACAATAAGCATTATTAGGAAAGATAATATCCAAGCATTATTAGAAACATAACATAAATATATGAGAACTGTTATACACTAAAATTACTAGACAGGTGAATGAAAAGAAAACATCATGTCAGAAGCTGATGGATAAGAATGAGGGACTAATCTCTTGAGTGATGACATCCGTATAAAACATCCATACTGGAATATGTTAGGTGTTTAATATTAATATTCATGTTAATATTGAGTGATTACCTAAATAACAGTGCATCCTTCTCTAACATTTTAACCAAACACTTTTGACGTGCTTCAATCTTTCCAAGGTCTTCAACCAACAGTTGTAAACTTATAACTCTTTTTGTGAAAAGGATTTTCAGTATAAAAGAATGGGAAGAACTCTGTTAAACTTATCCTTCATTGTAGAACAATAGTGTCAGTTCAAGATAAAATATATATTTGTCATTGCAAAATAAAAACAAAAGGTTGTTTTAACAGCTTTTTTAAAGAGACTAGTATTTTGGTTTGGCAAAAATCCGTAGCATGAACCAATAGTGTGGTGACTAAGGACTCTTAGTTTATTTTAATATTAAGAAGATACAGAGATCCTTTTATTTTGTAAACTTAACATCTAAAAATTACAGAATCTTTTTGACTTTTCTAGCTCCAAAAAGTTAGGAAGTATAAGATGATCACAAGGGTCCTAAGCCTGTTTTTGCTCTTCTGGCAAAATATTTTCAGCGATGATAAAAGCTGATCTCTAGTGCGCCACAGCTCGAAATGTTCAGACCATTTTTAAAGAACAACCAAAACCCTACAAATCCTCAGTTTGCTTCAAGTTCTAACTTTTTCAACTTTACGTTTTAAATTTTTTATGATCAAGTTTTCTTTTTATCATTAACCCTGCTTCTTCAGTTAGCTTTAACTTTTAGGGGAAGCTTGAAATTAAAGACAGAAAATGCCAGAGCTCCTCTGCAGTGGCCACGTCCATGTGCACTGCGTCCGTGGCCGTCCGTGGTAGGGACTGAGTGGCGGCCGCTGCTCAGTGCTCCAGGGGCGGTTCCTGTGGACACGCTTCCTCACGGAGCTGGTTAGCCTTGCAGCGCCTCAGGCAGGACTTACGATTTTGAAAAGTAGAAGCAAGGACTTGTTGCATCTGTGTATTAATTAGCACATGATTTCTGTCTTAATAATTCCCCAGATACAGGAATTACAGGGTAATTATTTTAGTTTGCCTAGCATGCTTACTTTATAATTTATGTCATATAACATTTTAAGTATTTACTACATATTTTATGTAAGGTTTCATAGTTTTTTATTTTGTGTTACTTTTAGCACATCGTGTCCCTGGGTTTATAAAATATTAGCACTAGAAAGAGCTTTGGAGGTAATCTACACAAACGTTCTTTTCACTAATGAGGAATCCGAGGTTCAGAAAGACAAAGAAATACATGGCTAGGATATGACAAGCATCCAAGTATTAAACTTGGTTTTCCAGCTATGTGGCTTTTCAACCATTGATTTCATTTTTGTTTTAATATTTAGTTAAACGTGGTTTGTCTCTGCTTGTCCCACAAAGTTGTGTTGTCAAGATAAAAAAATAAAAACCTGCCACATGTTAGAAAAAGGTACAGATCTCAAACTTAGTAAATGTTATTTAAATGGACTTAACCATTCTTCAAGTTCTGTTTCTGTCTATAGATTAAAACTTTGCTTAGGGAACTTAAAACAGTGACCGTCTGCTTTCATTTCTATATGTACAAGCATCTATTTGTGTTTCCTCAGAATCTGATGACACGATTCACATATACATTCTTTTGGTTGTTCAGTATAATTCAGTTATAAATTTCATTTAAAAGAGATCAAGTGTTTAGTTATTTTGCGTAAGTGAATTATGGATTGATGAGAAACAAGAAATTTTTAGGACAATGAAATGACCCACTTCAAATATTTGTTTTAATCCATCCACACTTTTTATTCCTCTTACTTACGTTGCCAGTTTGGATGCTGATGTAACCGTACTCTAACCAGCAATCAGAGCGGCTCACAGAAATAGGGGATTTTACCCAAACTTAAACCCCACTAGTTCAAGGTCTCGTCAGCCTCTCTCCCACCCCTGCCTGTTCTCCTGCAAGTGGGACCCCATCCCAAGAACTAGTTCAGAGAAACTGCCCCGATAAAAAAGAAGGAGGTGAATTAATTATAATTACGACATTTTATAATACATTTACATGTGCTCATTTAGAATGACTCAAAGGCATATTGTGTTTCCTTATTTTCAACATAAAATTTTCTTTCTTTTTCAGCTTTTTAATTAAATGAAGCCAAGTGGGATTTGCATAAAGTGAATGTTTACCATGAAGATAAATTGTTCCTGAGATATAGTTTAAATTCTTGAGTTCATTTCCACATTGTGGTATCTAGCTTATTCTTGTGCAGTTTTTTTAAATGTGAGTTTTCCTAGTAAATTTTATTTATGGAGGTGGATGGTTAAATTTCATATTAGCACTGGAAAGAACAAGGGAAACATTCAAGTGTTTTCAAGCGTATTATAGTCAGTGTATGCTTTAGGCCTGAAATAAATGACAATGTAACTATCAATTCATGTGTTAGAACTGTTCACTCATTAGTAAGGAAAACCACAATGTTAGTAAGAGGAAGCTATGAAATATATGTTAAAGAATCCTTAAGGTTGTACAGAGATAAGGTGTATGCATGAAAATGTCACATACTGAAAAATGCTACTCTTTGTCACTTCAGTATAAAAGATATGTGTGTGAGTACAAATACTGTTTTGTTCTTATTAATCGTAATTAGATAAAGAGGGAGTCGGATGAATAGTGCCTACAACTGGAACCCTAAGCAGGGAAATGGAGCTTTTTTTCTAGGATACAGATTTTCAAGCTAACAGGACTAAATCAACAAGCTTGAAGGCATCAGGTGATGGAAGCAAAACACCCGAACTAGAAATTAATTCCTCTCCGACTTCAGAGGTGTCAGATGTCGGAGTTCTTCTCTCATTTCACTTCGGGTATGAGTTCTCTGAGCTGAATGGTTGCTGAAATGCTACTACAGCTTTAAAATTTAGATGTTAAGTTGAAACCCTCCTTAGTTTTTAATAGACCTTCAGCTAGAGCACTGTGATAGACTCACTGGGGAATTCGTTGTGTAGGGGTGGGGCGCGATGGGCTTCCCTGGTCTTCTCTGCTTTTCCCTAGACATTGGAACGTCCCAGCAATGTGGATGAGCCTGGCGTCAGAAAAGTCTGTTTTTGTACCTGCTGGGCCCCAAAGTTTGGGGAATTGGTCACACTTTTTCTCTGTCTTCCTTCTGTCTCTTTTGAAAGTGTAAAATAAAATCAAAATTAGACTATTTTAAAAAAACTTCAGGAATCCAGACTTAGAACTGCAAAACTAACCCACTATGGCCACTTTCCCCATGTGTTACATGGGAAAGGTTTGCCATTAAAACTTCATTCCCTGAATCCAGATAGATAGATAGAGATTAGTTATCCTGTAAGTGGGTGACTCAGCAAAGCTTTCTTGAAAACCAAATATGGGAGCCTAATCATTATTATGTTTGTATATTCTCTTTTAATTTATAGAGTGCTTCTGCAGATTTTTTTTTTCTTTACAACAACCCTGTAAATAAGACAGGAATGTAAATTGTGTCTGGCTTACAAAAGTACCAGAAGCTGGAAGTTAAAAAGAATAGAAAATTAGAGCCCGTAACTAGGCTTTTAAAACTCTCAAACCTGAATTTTTATTTTCTGTGGTGCTAAAGAATTTAGAAACACAATCAGTTCAATAAACCTTTTTTCCTTTTCCTTTTTGTTTTTTCCTTTAAGATTGTGTTATCTAATTTTCATTAAGATCTAAATAATAGACCATGGAGAACTTTGTTGGTTATGGGTTTCAGGCACACAGTTTTAAACAGGGACCAGGTGTACATCCACTGAATTTACTTATTTTGTACCTTTATGAAATTCAGTAAAGAATGGGAAATATAAAAGCCTGTAGGGGCCTATCAAGCCTAAACTAGGGCAGTATGTGTGCTAGCAGTAAGCTATCTTGTCAAAACATGATATTCAGTGGAAGTTGCATGGCAATTCAAAACTATATTCACCTTACCACATATTCCCAAATCTATTATTAAAAAGCACATTAAGTCCCCTAGTTCCTGTTCAAAGATTGATACATTTAGCACTGGAATGGCATTTATGGAAAAGCATTAGGTGATCAAGATCATTTGTTTAATACCTATCCCAGGTAGCACTTGACGTGTAAATCTAAATCCATTGAGTATTTTTACAGTTTCTAAGTTTCAGTCAGAACAGGCATAGAATTGAAGTTTGAGACCAGATTTTACATGTAAACATACCTTTATTATAATTACACTTGTTCCCTTAAGGCTCAGTTCTTATTAAACAACATACATCTAGTCTCTCTATAAAGCTAAATATAGTGTTCAGTCATGACCAGAGTCAGACAATGGCCAAGGTAAGGAGAACTTCCCTATCACAGATTAGTAAAAGTTTGCTAGCCTATATTATGTCATCTCCTCTCAACATTAATTTTATGCCAACTATGAAAACAATTTTCTTAGCATTTTATAGCTTAGAAAGCTGTTGCTTTTCTAGACTATTGTTGTATTAGGGAAGTGATTCTAGAGAGAAATAAACTGCCTCAAGACAAGTTGTTACTGCAAAGTGCAACAGGCAAAAATTATGAAGAGTGGTTCAAATGTTGTTTGCTTTCAGAAATTTGCATGTGTAAAATCACACATGTAATAAAGGCTACCTTTACCTTTGCCAAACCATTCACATTGAAGATTAATTTGTATCTGCTATGCTTTATCTTCCAGTGTCACATTTCAATCCGATTTTCTGTATTGAAGACTCCCTTAAAAACTGATTATGTGTTTAATGGTCTCCAGTTGGAGTAAAAAGAATTGTTTTCCTACTTAGAAGAAAAGAACCTTAACATAAAGTTCCATCTAAAGGAGTTTAATTTCTAACATCCGATGAATAAAATGTTGCATTTTGCTCGGCTGACTGTTCCTTGCATCAGACATTCACATGAGTAACCCCATGAGTGTGTTGTGTATACTGTAATTTTCTTTTGTGTATAAAGTAATAGCCCCTGTCAGTTAACAATCCAGCAAGCATGGTGATTTAGGGAGATTAGATCTTGTAACCAGAGAGCTTGACAAGTATTCCCTTTCTTGCTATTAAGAGAAAACCTCCCGAGCGATAAATGAAGGGAGTAGTTATTTCTAAACAATGCATATTATTTTGAGATCAGAGAGTAAACTTGGTGTTTTAAGAAGTACCGGTAACAAAGACAAACAAACACTGGTAACATTAACTAGAGCATCTGGGAACAAAACATCTGAGTGGACTTTTGGAGACGGTGTTCTCAGAGCCCACTAACCATTCAGTTTAAAATTTTAAAACAAGAGGTTTTTCATATTTTAGCAAGAAGCCGTGCTGGGTCAAACCAGTAATTTATCTAATAGAATTTTTCTAGTAGTGGGAAAAGATGAACATAGTAGTCACACTAAAATGGTACAAATATGTTCATGTTAGCCTCTAAATTCCTTGAATTTGTGACCACATGTCACTTATGAATCTTTCCATACTCCTCGCTTAATCTACGTATGTCTGAAATAGATGTGCTATGTTTTTATGTATAACAGTCTCAAGTATATACAAAGCTTTAATAAAGCATCACACATTCGGACTGTAATAGAAGAATCACATCACATGTTGGTATGGGTAAAAATTAAGCATACATATAGGCAATGAAAATGGCAAAAGGAAGAACTCTTAAGGACTCCTGCACTCCACGGAAGCACTAGGAAGACGGGCAGTGTCTCAGTATTATTCGAAGTTTGGAAGATAGTGAAGGGTTTACAGCAACCCATACGAATTAAAATATGACTGAAATGCAGATGGATGGTTTAATGGCATTTTATCTTAGTCTCCCAGCAGTGGTCTTGAAAATGGCACCCTGTGTACCTGATTGTAGAGGAGGCAGGATGCTCCTGCGCCCAAGGAATAGTGCTCTGACCTGAGGGTTGCTGAGAGAATTTAGGCAAGGGGTTTTGTCTTTGTTTCGCCCAACTCCCAATTCCTCAGGGTGGAAAAGTGGCTACTAAGAGTTTCTTTGAAACACTGGAAAGGAAGTGAACATGCTCCTGCCTTAGGCAGAAGTTAACCGCTGTGACAGCCAGTAGACACGGCATTGAAACCCAGTAGACACGGCATTGAAACGAGAGCTGGAGAGTGAAGTACTTGGGGAAATGAGGCTTTGAAAAGCTGCCACAGGCCAAAACCTGGACCAGGACGCATCCTCAGAAAAGAGCCGAGAAGACCCTGAGCTTCTACCTCTTGCTGATGTTCACGCCCCGCCCAAGCAAGACGGGAAGGCTAGGGCGGAGCTGTCGACTCGCCGGATGAGGGCTGAAGAGGCGCCCAAAAGTCTGCAAGAGCCCAGGGACTAGTTTCTTTTGTTTCTTCTGTGCCTCGACAGAAGCGCTGAAGGACACCTGTGTCCAACCCTTAGCTCATCACTAAGCCAATGAAATACAAACCCCATAGACCACATCTGACAGAGAACATAATTTTTACAAAAACAGTTTTGAAAATTCACTAAATAACTACAAAACTTACAGCAAGCCACAAAAACTGGTTCCGGAGAGGGAGCAGAATCCAATTTCTAGAGTTGCTACATTAAAATATTTAGAATGACCAGTGTGGAAAACATACAAAGAAAGTACAAAGTATAGCCTAGGCACATGAAAAGAAGTTAACAGACAGGATCCTTAAAGCGGAAATTCAACTTCCTAAAGACTTTAATGGTCTTTAATGTACTCAAAGAGCTAAAGGAAACCATAGACTAAGGAACTAAAGGAAACCAGGTGAACGAGGTATCACCAAACGGAGAATTTCAATGAAGAAGTAGAAATTATAAATGGAGTCAAATAGAAATTCTAGAGCTGAATAACCTTTGTGAGTTGAAAACGTCACTAGAGGGACTCCAGAGAACACACAAATCAGACACGGCATTGTAAGGTTTTTGAGTGAAAAAAGACTCCAAGGCAAAAGGCTCCGCAGAAGGAGTTTTATTGTATGCACCCTCGGGCGAGGTTCCGTGACTCAAGTAAGGGAGTCAGGGAAGTCGCGGCCTGGTTGGGTGGTGATGGGGTGGGGTTTTATAGATTGTTAGTGGGGGTTCAGATAACAGGGGCAGTCTCTTGACTGGAAAGTCCAGGATTGGAAGGTTTAAATTTCTGTTTCCCGCAAATGTAGTAACGGTCACCGATGTAGTGGCAGGAAGGTCAGCCATCTTTTTTTTTTTTTTTTTTTTTTTTTTTTT